GAATTTCTGTGGGAATTGTGGGATCGTTGTGTGAAACTTCACTGAAGACACAGAAAATATTCATTAAAATTTTTAAATAATGATAAAGATGAGGGCGATAAAACTGCAAGGAACACAGATCCTGGAAAATGGGATCCGATAGCTGGGACTTAGACGCCAGAAAGGGGTAGAACCAGGGCGGCGATGCCGTGGGAGTGGAGACAGGGTCCTGGGGGAAGACAGAGAGGGTCTTTGAGCCTGGGGAGGAGAGGAGGGGGAGGCCGTCTGAGTTGAGTAGTGGGAACAGAAGTGGGTGGTAAAGCAGTTGGGAGTGGGGAGTGGCAGGGAGGAAGTAAAGACCTCCCCTCAGAGCACATCCTTGGAGAAACCCCGCCCTGGAGAGGAAGGGCGGAAGTCAGATGGTAATTTGGGGGAGCAGCAGGACAGTGGGAAGTGTACTTTCAGGATCAGGGACAGGTTTGTCTTTGCAAGCCAAGGAAAGGAGGGACACGCCTTAGGAGCAAGAGATGGAGAGAGAGGCTCCCAGGAGAGGTGGCTGAGAGGCAGGGGGACCGACTTTGGGGAAAAGGAGGCAAACCGGACCAGGGTCCGGTCCAGGCCAAGCCGCCTGCTGGGCCAGCTGATAATGTTTCCTCACGCTCAGTTTATAGACGGTGCAGCTGAGACTCAGAGGCGCTGCCCTGCTACTGGGTGGTCGATCTGGGTCTCCAACCACAATCTGACACCCGAGGGTCACTCTTTCCGTGACACCAGGAAGTCCAGCTCCCAGGGAGGGAGGAAAACAGAGAAGGGTTCAACCTCGGGCAGGGGACCCCTCAGAACCTTCCCCTGCGCTTCTCCCGCCATAGGAAGCTGGAGGAGGAGCACCCCTTCCTGAAGGAGATGCGAGACCGGGGCGAGAACCTGTACGTGGTGATGGAGGTGGTGGAGACCGTGCAGGAGGTCACCCTGGAGAGGGCCGGCAAGGCAGAGGCCGGCTTCTCCCTCCCGTTCTTCGCCCCGCTGGGGCTGCAGGTTCGCTTCGAGCACCCCCACACACCCCCACACACACACTCCTCAGAGGTTGGGTTTGCTTTGCACCCATGCACTGCCCACCCAGGTGACTGTAAGGACCCAGCCCTTCCCCCTGCTGCTCCAAACCCAGGCCCAGTGCAGCCCATTACACATCCCCACCCTGCGTCAGGCCAAGGGCACCTAGGTGGGCGGCCCCCTGGGCCAGCTTC